GTTTTGAAGTTGTAGTTCACTCAAAAAATGATGGATCTGGATCAACTTGGCACAAGTACTCAATATGCCCAAATGTGAACACTGGTGGAGTGTGGGGAAAATAGACTTGACATTCAGGAGTTGTAGTTGCTGGGATCTATAGTTCCCCTACAAAGAGCATTCTGAACCCCACCAGCGATAGAACTGGGCCAAACTTTCCACACAAAACCTCCAAGACCAACAGAAAATACTGTGTTTTCTGATGGTCTTTGGTGACCCCTCTGGCATACCTTTGTGACCCCCCAGGGTCCCAACCCCCAGGTTTAGAAACACTGAGGTATAGCAAAGGGGAATTGCTACTCACTATTTCCCAAGCAAAAATTTTAATAGAGGAAAATACTAAAGCAATCCTCAGGGTTGATTTGAAATCTCTGTCCCCTCCACATTTAAATCTCCCCCCGTTTCAAACAGGACAGTTACCCAAAGCTTGGAACAGATTAATTAATCATTCAATAAGTTGAATAATTAATTTAATGCAGTGAGGCTGAAACATATACTTAACACAGGCAAAAATGTTCCAGCAGACCTACAAATTTAACCAATGACCAGAAAGAAAATTGCGTTGCTCCAGGGCCCTTTCACACTACACAATTAACTGTCATGGTAACTTCCTATGTAATCCTGGGATTTACATTTTAGGGAGGGGTAGTAGGAGCTTCAATTCAATTCAACAATCTACAAACCTCAGTATTCTAAGAAGTAGTTAATGGAATCATAATAATGTAATTGTGTAGCTTGGGGACCCGGCAGTGCCTGGGTTATTTGGGAAATGCATTGTTTGTTTGTGCTCCAAGTTTAGTCTAGATCTAATGTCAGATGGGTTCAGTGGGTGTGGGTGAACTACAACTCCCATATGCAAGTCCCATGCTCCAAACTGCACCAGGATGCATAGTGGGTAATGGAGATTCTGTGTGCCAAGTTTGATTTTGATCAGTCAGTTGTCTCTGGAAGTGAGTAAAGCACTGTGGGCCCCCATTTACTGTTGGATTATTGTTGTAGGCTACGAGAATAGGCTTCCCAAGTTTCACTGCCTGGCCCTAAGCCTTTTGGGTTCATCTGTATTCTCCAGTCCTCAGGGCAAGAAAGAGGAATGTCAAAAAGACTTTGAACTTGTTAGACATCGTGTTTTTATTGAGATTTAAGTTATGGTCAAAGTTACCATCAAAGCCTGTCCACTGAGATATCACAAGGATCCCCCCCCCCCCCCCCCCCCCCCCCCCCGGGCTCAAATTCTGCCATTGGGGGTTCAAGACTTGGGATCATTCCTGGCAATCCAGGAAGTAAAGAAGGAGGAAGAAGAATCCCATTGGCCAACTGGGTGTGGGTGTGGGAAGGGAATAAGAAATAAAATTACTGTATATAGCTAGGTATAAATTGACACATATAAGTCAAGGGCAAGTTGTGCGGCTAATATTATGGATTTTGATATGATCAAAGGATAAGTCAAGCGTTGTTCTTCAGAACACCACTGCCAACCGAGGGCCCTTCTACACAAGTTGGTGCTGTTTAAAGGTTTTCTCAGGATGGACTAAGTTTTTGCCTTCCACCACTTTACTCAGGGATAAATAAGAGTCAGGGTACAGTACTTACATTGACTTGTGGATTGGTCCATTCAGTTTTTTTGATCAAAGATATAAGCAAATTGTGGTGGGGTAAGAAAGCACTTAAGTTTCCAGGAGCCATCATGTTCCCTAAACGTGCCATTGTTATGTCCATTCAGATTTTGACCTATAGTGAGGTTTATTGAGAGGTGCTTTGCAACTGTCTCCCTCTAAAGAGAAGAAGAGAGTAAGTTTGGATCTATACTGCCCTATATCCCAGGATCCGATCCCAAATTATCTGCTTTGAACTGGATTATATGAGTCTCCACTGCCAGATAATCTGGGATAAGCAGATAATCTGGGATCGGATCCTAGGATATAGGGCAGTATAGATACAGTCTGACTTGCTCAAGGTCACCTAATGGGTTTCTGTGGCTGAGCAGGATTTTCATTCTAATCAGCTTGAGTCTTAGGAGCCCCCCAGTGGCGCAGTGGGTTAAATCCTTGTGCCAGCAGGACTGAAGGCCGACAGGTCGGAGGTTGGAATCTGGGAAAGCGCAGATGAGTTCCCTCTGTCAGCTCCAGCTCCCCATGCAAGGACATGAGAGAAGCCTCCCACAAGGATGGTAAAATATCAAAACATCCGGGAATCCCCCAGCAATGTCCTTGCAGATGGCCAATTCTCTCACACCAGAAGCGACTTGCAATTTTTCAAGTCACTCATGACACAAAATAAAATAAGCTTGAGTCCTAGGATGCATCTACACTGTAGAATTAATGCAGCATGACACCATTTTAACTGCCATGGTTCAAAGCTATGGAATCATGGGAGTTGTAGTGTGATGAGGCAAAGATGGCAAAAGATGTTAAAAAACAACAATTCCCATGATTTTATGGTACTGAGTACCAAAGCATCTACAGTGGTGACAATTTGCATTAATTCTACAGTATAGATGCACCTCTAGTTCCACAGTGAAACCACTATATTTCCCTACTTCTTTGGGCTGCTTGAAAAGATACAACAGAATTTAGGGGAGAAGGAAGTCTAATATAGAAGGATATGTATATAGGATTTCACTTTAATTCCAGCTCCCTTCCTCCCTTCTTCAGACCCTGTCATTTCAGAGATCCACCTGAAATAATTTCTTGCAGTAGCAGGATCAGCAGTTGCTGCTTCAAATTATAACATAAAAATCAGATTTATATTTTCTTTTGAATAATATATCAAAGACTAGACAAAATATGTACAATTTCACAAAAGCAAATCCTTTTCCTAACACAATGAAAAAGTCCACAAAATGGTTAATTGTCTACAAAAAATGAATTACATGCACTCTTTTAAAAAAAATCAAAATTCTAAGAATTGGCTTTTCCTTTCTTTTTGCACAACAGACTCAGGCTAGAAAAACTGCAGAAACCTCTCTTAATTTGTACACCCTTACTCATTATCAACTCTTGCCATTTGACCCCACGGCGATAGTGTTTGGCAACATATGTCTAGTTCTAGTCTGGAAAATTTGGAATGGCATATTTATTGTTGTTGTTAACTGCCTTCAAGTTGACTTTGATGTATAACGCTATGAATGAGAGATCTCCAAGGGGTCTTCTACACATGTCCTAAAATGCAGGAAACTCGGATTTTTAAAATGGAGTGGTGGCGGCTACATAACGTTTGTCGAAAATGCATGTTGGATTGCATTAATGGTTGAAAACATGTGTTTAAAAGGTGCATTTAAAATCCACATATCTGTATAATTATATATCCCTGCAGTCAAGAAAAACACATGACTTCATTGCTATACGCAATGAAAGTGTGGACTGTTCCAGCGCATGCACACATTTTAAAATCCTGATACAGCTGATGAGGGCTGTAAACAGACGGAGCCATGGACACACAGGTGGCTAAATGGAAGCACAATTGGAAGGCAATTCCGATGATAACTCTCTCCAAGCATTCTTTTGTTGTCATGTTTATGACATTTAACAGAGCTTGAATTTACACAGTGGGTACCAGCATGGCAGGGAAGTGACCCCAAATGGGAAAGAGGGAAAAAGTAAAGGCAGGAGGGGAGTGTAGAGAGATAATGGCAAGAAATCTGCTTGTGTGCACATTCATAAATCTGCATCTGCACTTATGAAGACCAACACATCTCATAGCATTAATAAAAAAAGTAACAGTAAACTTCCAGCAGACATCCCACCCCTGCTTCTACCTGGTAGATTTCTAAAATCCGCTACAACAGAATCTGTCTGTATGTCAGATTCACATCTGCTTAAGGTACCCCGATTTTTTGCTCCCCTTTCTTTGTCCAGCATTTTAACACTGTCTGGAAGGGACCCAAGTTATACTATCCTTAACTGACCTGTTCAAGTCTTGCAGCTGTTGCTTCCCTGACTGAATCTATCCATCTGGAATGTGGTTTTCCTCTTTTCTTTTTTGCTTTCTACCTTACCAAGCATTTTCATACTGATTCCTGTCCTCTGGCAAAAGTCTGACAGCCTCACTTTATTCATTTTGGCTTCTAGAGAGTCTACTTGCTTTGCTTTAAGATTTGTATTTGTCTTTCTAATAGAAAGTAGCATGGCATGTACATTAAGCTAATTTTACATGTTATTATTATTATCAACAAAAAGCCGTAACAAATAAACACCTCCCCTACCTGATCCCCAATGGGAATTCTTCTTAAACCAGATATGTGCATGTAGCTAATTTTATGTTATTAACTAAAAAAACCTTTACCACTTCCCAAAAACCATACCCTAGTGGATGCAGTTCTTGAACTACCCTGAAAGGTAGCCCATCCCTAAATGAGTTGAAAGCCATGGCCAACATTTATTTTTTTCCCCTTTCTGACTGAATACCTTCTTCAAATGCAACACATTCCCTTGAAGGGTAGTAAATAATGGAGGATCTATTCCACAAAGCATTCCTATTCTACTTAAGGAATTCAGTGCAGTGTTCTACAGTATTCACTCCTTTGGTCAACAGTGGGGGGCTCCTCTTTGGTTGATCTATGCTGGTTCTGGGTAAGAGTTGTAGAAGGTTCAAAAGATGAAAAGTAGTAGCTGAAGATGTCAGAAACAAACCTCAAAGAAATCTGACAGCAAATCTTTCTTTGAACTTCTGTGAAGTCACAAGATATGGATGGGATTTGTTATGTTACAACATTGATTTATTGTAATCCTAATTTATATGACCAATTTGGTTACCCTTTATAATTTTAGTAAATGTCTATTATGGATCACTTATTAATAAGTACAATCCCCCATTTTCCTCTTACGTTTTATTTCCAGGTATACATGAATAGTCCAAAACTAAGAGATGTTCAAAAAATTGGTAAAGAGTGCACAGGGAAAGCCCTTCAGCAAATTTTAGAACAGTTAGTATTAATAACAATATTAACTACATTGAGCTGTTACCTGAAGGTAATGGCATGGCCTCAGGGAAGGTTTGATTTCCTGATGAACTAGAGGCTTATCTAGGTTAAGGGATGACTTGCGATAAGCTTCTTTAGCCTGGCTTACTGTAAGCGTAGACCAAGAGCTCCTTTTCATGTATTTGCCATCAGGGGCCATGGCAAGCCCTTCACAAGCTGAACATTTCACATCATTGTTACTCTTTGAAGTCTTTAATGAGAGGTCCCCAAAGTGTCCCTGAAGAGCTTCAGGGTAGCAATGAGAAATATGATCTACGTGATGCCTGTTGACAACACTTGGTGTTCGGTAGGTGCTATCACTGTCCAAATTATCATCCGAGCTCCACCAACTGCTCATTCCAGTTTTATGCTTAGTCTCAGGTTTCCGCTCTTTGCTTTTACTTCTTTTGCCATGTTTAGAATGATGTCCATGATGATGGTCATCCCCTCGGCCATCTCCCTTTGTTCCGTTGACATTGCTCTTGGAAGAGCCTTCCAAAGAATGAGATTTTGTGAAAAGTTTTTGGACTGAATGAACAAGGTGACGTATTCTTCCTGGGCTTTCACTGCGTTGCTCAGCAGCCGTTGAAGTCCTCTGGTACTGTAAAGTATGAAAACCATCTCTGTGGAGAGGAAGCTGTTTCTCAAACTGATCCAACAGATTTGCAGGAATCCGGTTGACCTTAGGGTTAGCATGAGACATGGTGCAATCGTCCCGAGTATCGTAATGAGTGGTGTAGTGCATTCTGGGGAAGGTGCTACTGGACATATGATCGCCCATAACCATGGGCATCATCATGCATTCTGAATGGATGGAGCTTCGCGGTGAGCAGCGATGGTGGTCCATCGGGCAGCTCTCCGTTGGACTGAGAAGATATGATTGCCTTGACTCCTGGCCATGGTGAATATGATCATGGGTGTGTTCACAATCTTCAGGGGATGCTAAACCACAAGTATGAGCAGAACATAGCTGTGATTGATTGCGACTGCCAGATAATCCTTTCATGTTCCTTGAAACAGGAGAGTATCCTTCTTCATCGAAGTGCTGCTGAGTAGGAGACCATGAGTACAGCTGATCTGTTAACAAAAAAAAAAAAAGGACAGCCATATTACTCAGATTAGAACAAATACAACAGCATCTAAGACACAATTCCAAAAAAAGGACTATGTACACTTCGTTGACTACTTGTCATGACAACTACATATATATTTATCATCCAGTCTCAGGGTGGTGCTCTGCTCTATACCAGCTGCTGTTGAAGACAAGTGGTGTATGTGGCATTTTGCTCATATCCTCTTTGTAAAATTCCCATAAGCACTGAACAGTAGACCAGGAAAATGAACTTTGGCCTAACCCAGCATGGTTCATTGAGTGCTCATTTTTCACATAAGTACAGTAAACCAATTTCTCTTTTTTAGCAAACTCAAACTCTTTATAAGCTTGGGTTTTCTTCTGTATTACATAACAAGCTAGCTACATTGTTATAGGATAGATAATATAAGTAAAATATTACACTTCATATAGAAATAAGACTTGTACTATTTAGACAACCTATGTCATCCACATTCTTATTTAGAAAGGAAGAAAAAAAACAAACCCTTTCCCCAGTTAAAAGAAAAGAGCTAAAACCTGATGTCCTGCCTAACATCTCCCAAGACATTTCTCTAGAATCAGCTAGCCATCTTTTTTGTTGTTATATGATTTTACCAGTCTTCATTTTTTACTTCTTTACTACATTATTCTTATATTTAATTGCAATTCACAAAAGCATTTAAATACTTTCATTGTTTTAAAAATAAAAACAAGAAAGGCTTGCAGCCTTTTAAGAAGTTAACCACATTTCAAAAGTCTCTGTAATCCAGTTTTCTCTTGAAGATAACAACAACAACAACAACAACAACTTTATTCTTATACCCCATCACTATCTCCCTGAAGGGACTTGGGGCAGCTTACATATGGGACAAAATGCCCACAAGACATAAAAGCAAAACAATCCATTAAAGCTAAAACACAATTAAAATAAAAGCATAGCAAAATATAACAATCCAGTAAACACAATCAAATAAAACGTAAGAATATAAAGCAGCAGTGTAAAAACTCAATCAAAACAATGCCCAACAAAAACCAATAACCAATAATACGATGGGCATGAACAGGCTATAAAAAGGGATAGGCATGGGATAGTGCAAGCAGTGTACCATAGGACAGGGATATCAGATGAAATGCAGAGAACAGAATATTATCAGGCGACCTAGAGACTGTGCATTCATAACTAGGGACTAGCCATTCTCAAATGCAAGCTGAAACATCCAGGTTTTCAAATCCCTGCGAAAGGAGGACAGTCTGGGGGCTTGCCTAATCTTTCTGAGGAGGATGTTCCATAGCCTGGGGGCCACCACAGAGAAGGCCCTCTTCCTCGTCCCCACCAACCTGGCTTGCAATGGTGGTGGGAGCGAGAGGAGGGCCTCCCTGGCTGATCTTTGAGTCTGCGCCGGTTCAAAGGGGGAGATGCGGTCATGAAGATAGGCAGGACCTTAACATAGATCTGGATTTTGTTCTTTACTAACGCACATTGTTGTATCCATTCAAGTTAATCCAATTTTTAACTGACTGTTTGAGAATTTTCTACTTATGGTATGTTTTGTTTGCTATCTGCTGTAGTACTATCACTTCCCCACTACTAGGCACTACTTAGGTGGACTCAATATTGCACAAGTTACTGCATTAACCACAGTTGTGGCACCCTTGAAACAATTCTTTTGTTTTGCTTATCTGTAGAAATAATATTGCAGGATCCAACCTAATTAATATTATTTGTGCTGCAAAAACAGGATCACTTTGGCACTGTGGGAGACCCTCGACTATTTCCATCTAATTTTAAATTATTTTTTTCCTCCATTCACGGTTTATATTTAAAACTAAATCTCAAACCCTTCCTTTCTTTCTCTTGACTTTCCTCTTCCTTCTGCTTTTCCCCTGTCTGGCATGTGATCCCCATGTGATCACTTTTCTCTGCCCCAATCCATCTAGGGGGAGTCAGACTGAGGGAGCATTTCATCCCTGGCTGCATCTACAACAATGAATTAGTGCAGTTTGACACCACTTTCCCCACCTTGGCTGTATGACCACACTCTCCAGCTTTTTTAACTTCACAATGCCTCCCCCAACATGATTTCTTCCTTCTCCTCCCTCACTGAAACTGTGATGAAAATGAGGATTATAGTAAGAGTGTAAGAAAAGAGTACTTTGCTAAAGCATATGTAGTTGTTCAGAATCCTTCAATTACATTGCCCCAACTAATTATTTAAAAGGCAGGATTTTAAATAGCCAGTGAAAACTGAAATAGCAATATTACAGGCAGCTATTCTGACATGATTCCAGTACTTAAATTTGGTTTATACATTTATTATGTAATGCTGCTCAGTAATCTGTGAAAGCCAAAGTTTGGATCTTTCTTGTGCCATACATATAAATTAAAAATACTTAAAGGTACAGAGGACATTTATTCTCAACTCTTTTGCTCATCCTACATTGTGGGGAAATAGAACCCACTATACAGCATTTATGTATCAAGGATTACAGAAGTAACCACCAAAACAATTTGTGGAAGATGTCAAGGTGAAGCAAGGAGACATATTTGACACGTACCCTACACTCAGTACCCTATACCAAACAAAAAGTCTGAATGAGACCCTCAAAATGTTGACAAGAGAAGAAAGAGATTTGTATTACTAATGAACTGATATAATTTTATAATTTGTATCTGAGGACTTTATCTCACAAGGTAGGCAAACTGGCATTCCTACCACTCTGTCTTCTCCCTGTTATTATCCCATCCCTTGACAGCTAAAACCCATTAAGAGCTCCCAAACCCACAGTGTTTCATTCCGTTGTCTTAATAGGATGGGTCACTTTTGCTTTTGCGCCAGCATAATGGTAGCAAAATGGTGTCAAGGATGGGATTCTCTCCCTCTTTCCCCTCCTCCTTGGTCTTCCAAAGCGGTTGGTTACCTATTTTATAGTTATATTTTGTTTTTCAAAGCTGAAATTGCAGAAATAGCTCTAAAAATGGGATGGCAGTAATGCAGGAAGGTAGGGTTATGAGGGTATGTGGAAGTATGAACCTAGGGCCACAGTTGAATTGATGTACTGTATATACTCAAGTATAAACCAAGTTTTTCAGCGTTTTTTTGGCTGAAAATGTCCCCTTGGGCTTATACTCGAGTGAGGGTCCTGGTGAGAAGGCATGGGGCTGAAAGAAGTCCTTCTTTCAGCCCCATGCCTTCTCGCCAGGACCCTCATCTCAACACACAGCAACCCAGCTGGGTTGTTGTGTCAAGAGAGGATGAGAGGCTGCATGCCTTCCTCTCCTCTCACTATGCCCCTTCCCACCCCTATCTGTCCTACTTTTCCAGCTACCCCCTTTCCACCTCATTTTCCTACTTTTTCAACCACCCCTTTCTATTCCAACCTTTTCAGGTTTCCAGTCCTTCTTTTCCACCCTCTTTCTAAGCCAGACTTTCTCAGTTTTCTTGATTCATGTACACACAGCAGTTTCCTCAAAATGTATAGTTAAAATAAACTATGTTGATTATTGGAAGGATACATAAGCACATTTACATCAACGAAGGTTAGAATGATGATTTAATCAGAGTTGGACAGTTTTCTCTTAAATCACAGTTTTATGTAAATATTCAAAAACATTTAACCTACTGATGCCTCAATTAATGTATTTTTATTGGTATCTATTTTTATTTTGAAGTTTACCAGTTTTCACACATTCCAATTTTTTTCCCAGGGGATTATTTCATGCAGAAATATATGGGAGATTTTTGGTGCAAAATGCACATTTTTGTGCATGCTGTGAATAGAAACACAATTTTTTTCACAAACTTGTGTTTTTGGTGCAAAAATATGATTTTGCATAAATAATCCAATGCATTTCTAGAAATAATCTATATTCACATTTTTAAACAAACAAGTACATTTTTGGAAAGTAGTTTTTTTTGCACAAAATAAACTCACAAGAGTTTGAGCACAGAATAATATCTTGAAACACTTTAAAAGTGTAAATACTGGGAATGGTGTAATAAATAAATATTTTGGTTTTTTTCTCTCTCTCTTCCAGACCAGTGCAAACCTAGTGCAATTATTCTTTCTTACATTTACTGAATCTCAATTTGTAATCTCAATTTTTTGTGTCAGGAGCAACTTGAGAAATGGCAAGTTGCTTCTGGTGTGAGAGAATGGATCGCCTGCAGGGATGCTGCCCAGGGGACACCCGGATATTTTACTATCCCATGGAAGGCTTCTCTCATGTCCCTGCACGGAAGCTGGAACTGACAGATGGGAGCTCAAGCTATCTCACAGAATCAAACTGCTGACCTTCAGATCAGCAGTTCAGTCGGCACAAGGGTTTAACCCATTGCACCACCATGGCTCCTAATCTGGTCATTGACTGTTACAGTAAAATGCTATTGATGCAATACCGTTTTACCAAAGGGCTGCACCAGCAGTTCTTGATGTTGTTTGCATTCTCACAAGGTTAAGAAGACATAAACTACATAAACTGCAGAATTTGCTAAATGTAATAATGTTGCCTTATGACTTTCAGAATAAAGTTATGCCTAATAAACAAAAAAGCACTTTTAATTAAGTGGGATTTTTTTGTCCTACAGAAAGGTCTATTGTGTTCACAGTTTGATGAATTCTTTTGCTCAGTGTTATACACAATCTTGCAGCTGTGGAATTTTGCAAACTAATCAGAGAAAAGAGAAAACACTTCAGTTTGATTTAGGTATTCAGAGTCCTCAAATTTCAGTTTATTAAACTTTTCAAAAAGACGAACATCTGAGCTGTACGAGCAATCCTTTAGAGGAGCAGCCAAACATTCCAGTAATTATACTTGATATTGGCGTCTTCACAATCTTTTTGACATATTTGCTCTTCAAAATATAGTCCTTGAAAGATATTATGAAAGCACAGTACAAATAAGTAGCAGACTTCAAGAAAAATGGGAAGGCTGAGAATACAGCTTTTGTCACTTCAATAGACTGACTTTTAAATGTCCTCTGAT